ATTATGGATATTTGGAAAATAAAAATATTGAATAAATGTTATTTTAATCAGTATATATTGTCTACAAGTATTGTTAAACTGTCGAAACACAGTTTTGATCATTGAAAACAGCCATAATTACTGTAATTTCACAGCTTTTGACTTTTATTATAATTCTTAGATTACAATTTAGATTACCATACTATATAATTGCCCCAAAGTGGTAAAATTACAGAAAGGTAATATTTTATTTATTGTTAAATGACAGGCGTTCACACATTTTAATGTGGTTAAAAAAGAAAACTTCCTGTAAAATTATGGGTTTGTGATGAAAAATCAATTTTAATGCCATTTTACAGATACTTGATTGAAGAGTCTTAGCTATAGGTGTATTATCAAAACCTAAAGTAAACATATTTAAATCCGTTTTTTTCATAATTAAAAATGACTATATGTTGACATTATTTTACATAAATTCATTTATCCTATAATAGAGACCAGAAACCCATTTTGAGTTATTTTGTACTAGGGTTATTTATGAAAGTTTCAGGCTCACTTAAATTTACTTAATTTGAGCAAACTCAGACATTTACATTTATTCATTTAGCTGACACTTTTATCTAAAGCGACTTACAAGTGAGGTCGCACGTGGATAGGTCACAGTCGGGGATTGAACCCGGGTCTCTCACACCAAAGTCATTTGTCTTATCTATTGCGCCATCACCACCCCACAGAGCTCTTAGAGTACCACCACAATACAAATTCCCACATCTGATACTATTTATAGACCATTTTTTCAGTTCCATGCTAACAACAAATAAGCCACACAAGCAATCCATTTCAGTGTAAAGAATTGTTCTCCTGAAACAAAAGTAGTTTAGTTTTTATATACCTTATTGACAACGTTTTCAGATCTATTCATTAGAAACCTAATTGGGTCAATATAAAGAATATTTTGGATACTGTTAGACACAGCTCCAAGATTAAAGTGCAATCTGAATGTAAAGTAATTGGAAAGTATTTCTTAAAATGCTGGCATTATGCACAATCCAAAGACTTCCCTGGTTTCAATATGATATTTTATGACTTTCTAAAGCAAGTTTATGTATCTGGTAAATGTTTTTCTTGCTGTATGTGTTTCTCTGTGCTGTGCATCCCTGTTCCTTTTCTGTCCTCTAGTTCTGACCCAGGAGTGCTACAGCTGATTGCTGAATTAGGTCCACCTGGCCTTGCAAGGCAGCGTACAACTGTGTGCATGGGAGTTGGGGAAGTCCAAAAGAAGACAAGTGCGAATGTGAAGTTTTTCTTGGCAGTACAAATGAATCCATTTGTTTGCAAGTTTTTGGTATGCAAGCCAAAAGTACATTTTCAGATTCAACTGGCTTTGCACAACAACACCTCTGGATGACCTAAAGAAACCACTTGGGTTCTTAGCTCAATTGGAAAACATAAACAACGGCAAACAAAATCAACAGTATATCTATCCAAGGTCTGCAAGACATTAAGTAAGTTTCCCTTAATAATTGGTATGGTGACCAAATTCTGGAGATGTGTTAGTCCATAGCCCTCTCCACAGAAAGTCTGGTGGCTACATGGCTGCAAAAATGACAGAGCAGATAACCACTCCCCCTCCACCACCAGCTCTTCCATTAAGTGTGAGCAATAAGCAAAAGGCAGATGATCTACACTAGCTTGACGTTCCTTACATCCAAAAAGCTTGACAGCGTTTGATTTACAATATAACTGCATTGATAAATAGGACTGTGTGATCTGACAGTTTACACTATATTACCAAAAGTATTGGGACACCCTGCCCGAATCATTGAATTCAGATGTTCCAATCACTTCCATGGCTACAGGTGTATAAAATCAAGCACCTAGGCATGTGGACTGCTTCTACAAACATTTGTGAAAGAGTGGGTCGCTATCAGGAGCTCAGTGAATTCAAGCTTGGTACCTGTGCAAGTCCATTTTTGAAATTTCCTTACTACTAAATATTCCAAGGTCAACTGTTAGTGGTATTATAACTTTATAAATTATAAGTGGAAGCGATTTGGAACAACAGAAACTCAGCCTTGAATGGGTAGGCCATATAAAATCACAGTGCAGGGTCAGCTCATCTGCAGAAGCTGCCAACTTTCTGCAGAGTCAAGAGCTACACACCTCCAAACGTCGTGTGGCCCTCAGATAGCTCTAGAACAGTGCGTAGAGAGCTTCATGGAATGGGTTTCCATGGCCGAGCAGCTGCATCCAAGCCTTACATCACCAAGTGCAATGCAAAGCGTCGGATACATGGTGAAAAGCACGCCACCACTAAACACTAGTACAGTGGAGACGTGTTCTCTGGAGTGACGAATCACGCTTCTCTGTCTGGCAATCTGATGGATAAGTCTGGGTTTGGCGGTTGCAAAGAGAACGGTATTGGCCTGACTGCATTGTGCCAAGTGTGTAAAGTTTGGTGTGGGGGTGTTTTTCAGGGGTTTGGCTCGGCCCCTTAGTTCCAGTGAAAGGAACTGTTAATGCTTCAGTATACCAAAACAATTTCATGCTCCCAGCTTTGTGGAAACAGTTTGGGAATGGTCCCTTCCTGTTCCAACATGACTGACCAGTGCACAAAGCAAGGTCCAGAAAGACATGGATAAGCGAGTTTGGTGTGGAGAACTTGACTGGTCTGCACAGTCCTGACCCCAACCCAATAGAACACCTTTGGGATGAATTAGAGCGGAGACTGCGAGCCAGGCCTTCTCATCCAACATCTGTCCCTGACCTCACAAATGCCCTTCTAGAAGAACTAGAAGAATGGTCCAAAAGTCCAATGATCACACACACACAGCTGATTACCAGTTTTAGAACAGTATTTTGACATTTTTATTAAAGGAAAATCTAGTATTTGCAGGTGTTGTATCATTCTTTTTTACATATATATTGATTACATTAACAAGATTTTTATGTGAAATTATATAATAAAACTCAATTAAAGCACTCTACTATAAATTTTAAGCCTGATTATTTGTATTATAGCAGTGTTCAACTATATTTAAAGGTAATTTAATTGTTTTTACAGGTTTATATGTTTTTAATTAAACAATAAAATCCCCAAAAATTGCACATGTAAAATTACAGACTTGTCATTATGGAATATTACCGTATTTTTACGAGTGGGTTATTTACTGTTATTTAACGGTATTTTTCTGGTATATTTCAATTCTTTTACGAGTTGGTTATTTATTGTTATTTTACAGTATTTTTCTGGTGCCCCAGCTGCCAGAATATTTCCGTTTTTTTCACATATTTTTTTTTTAACAGTGTATAGCCTAGCCTCTGTGAAACATCTGTATCCTCACTGTGCTACATTATTATAAACTATGATGAACTGGTTGTGGGTCACATCTCTCTCTCATCCGCACGCTGTCTCTCCCTCTTCGTCTTCGTGCAGTTCTCAAGCATCAGTTCCCTGCTGATGACTATGTAACTGCTGTGGCTGCTTTGACATAGCCTACAGTGTGCTGGTGTTCAAGTTTGCTGTCTGCTGTAGTGTGGGCTACAATGTTCTCAACTTGTTGTAATTTGTTAATAACCTTTAGACATGCTATGTTGGCCATTTAAATGAATACAAAAACATGAATATTACAAGCTAGTATGACGTCATTATGTGGACGGACCTTCTTTCAGTGACCCCAACTGTGACTGACTTCCAACGTCCCTGTCCCTTTAAACACTAAAGTATTAGTATAAAGAAGTTTCAGTTTTTTATGAAGGGAATTGTTTGGATTAGTTCTATATTGTGCTGTCAATGATGCTGAAAGTGCAAATAATGATTAAGGACGCCACTGACTTCACATTGCTCAGGCTGACTGACGAAAATAGACCCGTTCATTGTCCTTAATTCATTTATTCTCTGACTTTGCATCTTTATTTTTATCTTTATGCAGAATTAAAAATGGCACAGAACCAAGCCTGGATCTCCACAGTGAAGAGTGAATTTGAAAAGAGCCCTCTTGTATCAAGTGTGTTTTTTGGCTTCATCCTTCTTTGCTTGGAGAAGTTAGTGGAAGTGGAGTTTATATGCCCACATGGAATGCTCTCTTTGCAGCTGCTTTTTTTTAATTTTTCCTGCAGTTCTGGTTTTTCTGCTGATGATAAACATTCAAGGATGCAAGTTTGAGATTTCAAAAACATGTGGGGAAAAGAGTTTTTCAGCATCATCCTTGCCATAGTGTGGTCCCTACTGGTGTTCTTGGATGGCCAATACTATGCCTGTGCAATGACAAACTGGTCAGGCAGGTATGTAATTGTTGATGAAGCTGCTCCTCAGAAATGGTGCGAACCAGACAACCACAACTCATCACAGAAGTTAAAGCTCAGGACCAAGCAATGCTTTTCTGTGTCTCAGGTATAAGGAATGTCTCGATTTGGCATTTGTAAGAAATTGATCTGTGAACAATATGAAAAGTATGCAGTCATTCTAGTGGCTCTGTGAGGCAGTGCTTTGAGCTAAATGCAAACATGTTAATAGTGACAATAGCAACATTCTGATGTTTAGCATGCATGTCACTGAAAACTGTACTTCATGGCAATTCAAATCAGTGGGAGAAAATCAGTGGAACAGACCAAACTACAGGCCAGTGTTGCCATGGTTTTAGGATGGTAAAAAAAAACCCAACTTAATACAACATTTTGGTTTGTTAACAGTGTTAATTACCAGCTTAATGGAACTCGTCTTTTTCCTTGTTTATTCTTTTGCCTGTAGTTTAGGCCATTGGAATGGGGCATATCATATCGTTCACTTTAGGATTAGGAGTATATTTAATCTATAAGTATGACAAAAAAAAGAAGGGCAACTTCACGCAGAACCTGTTCAAGACAGGGACCATCAGGATCCAGAAGCTCCTGTGCCGACAAATAATTAGAACATAGATGGTTCCTGGGATGTGACTTTCCACCTAAAGAAATTAAAAAGAAATGAAAAAAAAGACAGTGGAAATAGAAGAGGCTAAATGCTTTGAAATGATACATATGAACATAATTATAGAAAACATTTATTTTTATAAAAGTAGAACATCTTTTGTCAAATGTAACTTAAAAAACAATCCCAGTCCCTCTCATACATTTTGATCATCACAATTTGTTACTGAATCATTCATTTATAACTGAAATAAGTAAATTCAGATGTAAATCTTATTTTTATATTCTGCCTCTAAAGAATGAACAGAGAAATTCCTTTTGTTTTAAGATTTAAGATATTAAGATTTTTGTGAGTTCCCAATTAAAGGGCTGTAAAATAAGAGTTGTATAAGCAATGCTTATTGTATTTTTATTTTATTTTATTGTATATTACATAATGCAAGCAAAAATTGTCAAGCTAAAATTTCCTGTGTCTGTGTAAATGTGGTAAATTTACCGTTACGTGACACTTTGGTCCTTGTGTATGGAAGATTTAAAATGTACACTTTTTAAGTTAAATTTTTTTAAATTATAATATATAATATGTGTTTACTTTTTATGTATGCATTAACTGTATCATAATAACATAAAACATGTTAAATTACAATAATATTACTTTTGTTTTTAATATCTGAAGTAATTGTTTTAATTAATACATAAGTTTTAACTGAGTATCCACTATTAATTTAAGTAGAATCTTCAAAATATTTTACTCATCATATTCAGTTATGTTTCCATTATCATCCACATCCATAACTCATATTAGCTAACAGAAACATTAATTCTAAAGGTCTATTGTCCAAACAGTTAGGTGGTAAGTGATAAACATCTATTGCATTTATATTTATATGATATTAATATTTGTTACAAAACACATTAACCCTTTATTTTTTATAGTAAGGTCATAAGCCTTAATTTTGTCAACAGACAGCTATTTCTTCACATTTTATGAATCAAAAAGATTTCATCCAGTATTTTTCCTGTCTTTCAACTTTATCAACTTGACACACAAAAATAAATATTGGGTTATTGATAGTGCTTAGATTTCACACATAAAACAAACATTTTATTTTTCATGTCATTCATGTTTAACTTTGTTCCCAACAAAAATAATTCTCCACAACAATCTTACAATTGAAATGCTGGTGAACATTATAAGCAAAACAACTGTAAACAAAGCAGCAATGACATCCACAGACTTGTAAACAAACCAGGACATTTTGTTGAACTGTGTCTGCAGATGACAGGCTCCTTTATGTCTCATGACATATTCTATCCAAAACACAGCCTGGTCCAGTGGTTTCATGGGCTGATCTCTGTGCAGCTTTGAGAGTGTCTGCATGTTTTCCCTGATCGAGGAATTGTGAAGAGCTGTCATTAGGGCATCTGCAAAAATGTGTCTATCAAGCATGGCAATATCCACAATCACAGCTCCTCCCTTTGCTCTGATTCTGGAGAGGTTATCAGGCTGATCATAGAATAAGGGCAGCCCAACTACAGGAACTCCGTGGTAAATTGCTTCCTGAACCCCATTAGTGCCTCCGTGGGTCACAAACACTCTAGTTCTGGGATGTCCTAAGAGGTCTTTCTGTGGCAGCCAGTTGACCATTAATGTGTTGTTTCCCAGGTTGGCTGGCCTTTGTCCGATATACCTCCACACAACCTTCTGAGGCAGTTGGGCAAAAGCTGCAGCAATCTCCTCGGCAATGTCTTGTGGAAGACTCCCGACTAAAGTTCCTAAGGTCATAATTATGACCCCATGATCTCCAGAACTCTGGACAAAATCATCCAGGTCGGCAGGGAGGGGCTTTGGGGGCTTGCACTGAAATCCACCTATGTAGACTATATTTGGCATTGTTGGACGTGGAAATTCAAAGACAAAATCGTTCCTCATAAGCCATATGTCAGCATCCAGGAAAAATGCTGAGTAATCCACACCAGGGCCAAAGTACCTCTCAACTACCGGTTTGTAATTAGGTTCTGAGATGCATGATAGCACGTACATCCCAATGATATAACTCAAAACATTTTTTACCCTTTGAGGGAAGGTCATCTTATGTGTCAACTCCGTTGAAGTGAACGGAATGTATGACAGAGGTGAGGGAGCAATAAGGAAATGAGCTTCACCTTCAATGGTCCATCTGACATTGAAAACAAGAGGAAGTTGGAGCCGACGGGCCAGCATTGCCCCTCCGCCGATGCTAGGGTCAGTCAAAACCACGTCATATTTGGCTCGATGTAAAGTCTGCATCAGGTCTTCATCTTCAAACATCTGAACGACCATTTCACTCATGCCCTTATGGAACTCAGAGAACTGGTCCATGATGACCCGCTGCCTCTGAATACGATTCCAGATGTTAGACCAAAAAGATGTGTGCTTACCCTGAAGCCGGACCTCTAGCAGTTGAGACAAAAAAGTATCAAAGTTTTCCTGAAATCCATTAGGGCTGGGAATAGTGACAGAGGTGTAGAGAGGAGACTTTTCGCTGATGTACCAGCTATCGGACGTCCGAACCACAGTGACCTCGTGGCCTTTGGTATGCAGTTCCTCTACGAGTACTTTCATGTTTACCCAATGGCTTCCATCCAATGGGAACACCAGGATTTTGCCCCCTGATGCACTGGAGAGTTGACTCAACAGTAGAGCAAAGGTGATCAGAGACGAATGAGGCACCTTCATGTTGACGTCCCTCAGAGGCCTTAAACATACAAAAAAAACAAGTCAGTAAGAATCTGTCTGTCTGGTTAGTACATGTTTTATTTACAGTCATGCTATAATCTGAAATGCAGAGGTAGAAAATAACTAAGTGCATTCACTCAAGTACTTACACTTAAGCAGGATTTTAAGATGCCATTTGACGCTACCTTATACTTCTACTCCACTACATTTAAGAGGGAAATGCACTTTTTACTGTACTACATCATTTTACTTTCCTGCCCTTTAATCAATCACGACACCACAAATTATCTTCTGTCCCTTTGGGGGGACAAGACCCCTAGGTTGAGAACCACTGGACTAAACAACCTAATTATATTTAAAGTAGTTAAACAGTAAATTAGAGAGCAGTAAACAGTAGAAAGCAGTAAAATATTGTACTACTTACACCTTCATTAGTATTAAAAATCTAACAAACATTTTACTGCAGAATGAGTTCTTTTAATTTTTACACTTTAAGTACATTTTACTGATAATACTTATGAATTAGGGACTTTTACTTGTAATGCAGTATTTTTGCCTTGTTTTATTGGTACTTTTACTTGAGTAAAGGATCAGAAAACATCTCCCCCCAATGTTGAGATGAAACTGGACTGTGAACATTACATTGGGCAATCAAATGAAAACAAAAGGATTGCCCAAACAACAAACCTTAAAACAGATTGAAATGTTTTCTATCAGTCCCGATTGTATGACTTTAATGCAGGAAATACTCTACACAACAACTAATGAAATAATATTTTTAAACAAAACTTGATTGCAGTACAAGCATTAGCCTACCTTGTAAACTTTAAACATAACTACCAAGACCTGCACAGACAACTGTTATTCTTTATACCATGTTTCACCAATACACACATTCAATGGCTGTTTTTACTTTATGTGTTTTGTGCTCATAACAGAGCTTTTTATTTACTTACCCAAATCCACTGGTACACGAAAGATAATTCAACTTCAACAGCACAGCTTGAAAGAAAAAGTGGTGAATACACCTCCTAGTAAGTCCCTTAAACTTATGACTAGCTGTGTGCTGCTACAGAAAACGGCCCTGTTTTAAAATGTGTCTACTGTTGATGGTAATGCTGCAACAAGAGTTAATGTTTAGTTGCACAAGAATTCATGATTACAAGAGTTCATGTTTAGTTGCAAGAGGAAAAAAAAATTGTCTGTTGTGCCATCTAGTGTCAAGTCAGTGTATTTAAAGTTGAATTGTTCTTGATCGGTTTACCTGAGCCCAGCAGTAATTTTAACAAGCCCATTTTTAAAAAAGCACAGAGCCATAAGAACCAAACTACTCTGGGAAAACCATGGGTCTGCAAATAACATTATGCTATTTTTAAACCCTCACATGCATAACCTGCCAAATACTCATTTCACAAAGATGGGAGAGAAAAAACACAGCACTAGAAAGGTCGTTGATGAATCAGTAGTTTGAATATAATCATCTTTTTCACAACAAACTCAATAATATTGCTTTACACATGGTACTCTAATCCGGTGTTTCCCAACCAAGTAACTTTCTACCTCCCGTTACAGGTTGTATACGTCTATAGATGATGGCCAGGTCAAAGAGAGGTTTTTCCCTCCCAGAATATTTTATTTGATTATTTTCAGGACTTAAAGATGTACAATAATACAGTAATAAAAATGCTAAAAGCAAGGATTGGAAAAATTATAAAAGATTGTGTGTGGTAGAAATTTATTATTTTGTTAGTATTCTGTTCAGCTGATGATCACTAAGATTTATCTTGGAACTTAAAACCACTGCTCCAATCAGTACATAAACTGTGTAAACAAATTTTACTAGTACTGTGTCAGGTGACATTGAGTTGGGTTTTCATCACAGGCAGGTCTTAATATCCTGATATCCTCTAAATTCTAATGTGTTCAATTAAATGTGCTTACTAGTGTTTGCACATTGAGGAATATATGCTAATTTTGCTCAGGTGTAATGACTTGAGTTTAGCATACTGTGTAACATGGGTTACCTGGGTTTTATAACGAGACCTGCCGGGGGGAGTAATGTTAGGATTATTGTGTTCAGAAATCAGTGTCCGCATAATAAAAAAATAAATAAATGCAAAGTTAAATTAAGATTGGAATTGAGACAACAATCAACAAGCCAACACAATAATACCTATATCATTACCATAAAAATCATACAAAACAGACAATAATACAAAAACAATACAAGATAAAAGCATGAGAACACTGAAAAGACTAAAATACACATTTAAGATAAATATAAAATTAGTAAAATACAATAAAATAAAAGGGATAAAATAAAGTCAAATAAAATCGGGAAAGGCTCTCCTATAAAAGTATGTTTTAAGAAGGGACTTAAAAGACTTCACTGACTCAGCCGACCTGATTTCCTCGGGCAGGCTGTTCCAGAGCCTCAGGGCCCTGACAGCAAACGCTCTGTCCCTTTTAGTTTTCAGTCGAGACTCTGGAACAGACAACAGACCTCTGCCCGAGGATCTCAAGGTACGTGCTGGTGCGTATGGGACTAAAAGGTCAGAAATATAACAAGGCGAGAGGCCATGAAGAGTTTTAAAAGTGATCAATAGAATTTTAAAGTCAATTCTAAAACATACTGGGAGCCAGTGTAATGAAGCTAAAATAGGAGTAATGTGGTCATATTTCTTTGTTCTGGTTAAAAGCCTGGCAGCTGAGTTCTGGACAGTCTGGAGTCGATCAATAGATTTTTGGGTTAAACAGGTGAAAAGGCTGTTGCAATAATCCAGGCGTGATGAGATGAAGGCGTGTAAAATGGTCTCGGTGTCCTTAAAAGTTAACATAGATCTCTCTCATAGATAATTTTTGCTATATTTCTAAGTTGATAAAAACATGATTGAACAAGCTTTGTGGTGTGCTGCTCGAAATTTAAATTACTATCAAACCAAACACCAAGGTTCTTTGCCACAGGCTTAATGTGATTTACTAGGGAACCAGCAGATGGCAGTATTTGATTTGCCATCTGCTCGGACGCAATGACCAGGATTTCTGTTTTGTCTGAGTTCAGCTGGAGGAAATTATTTGACATCCATTTTTTTACTTCACAAAGGCAGTCGGTAAGTGAACTCAGCATTCCAGGGTCTGTGGATCTGACGGGCAAGTATATTTGTGTGTCATCAGCATAAATATGAAAAGAAATGCCATGTTTATGGATAATATATCCAAGGGGAAGCAGATACAAGGAAAACAAAATGGGTCCTATGACCGACCCCTGATGCACACCATATTTAACTGGACAGAACAAGGAGACATAGTTGTTTACAGACACGCAAAACTTCCTATTTGACAGGTAGGATGAAAACCATTCTAGGGCAGTACCAGAGATCCCCACCCAGTGCCTCAGTCTGTCTAACATGATGTTGTGATCAATGGTGTCAAAAGCAGCGCTAAGGTCCAGGAGTACCAGGACTGAGCACATGCCTTCATCAGCAGACATTAAAAGGTCATTGGTGACTTTAAGCAGGGCAGTCTCAGTGCTATGGTACTTCCTGAAACCAGATTGAAACTTTTCAAATATTTTGTTATTTTCCAGTACAGTGAGCAGCTGTTTGGACACAATTCTTTCTAGAATATTTGCAATAAAAGGCAGTTTTGAAATTGGTCTAAAATTATGTGGGAGGCAGGGATCTAAACCAGGTTTCTTTAAAAGTGGGTTCACGCAAGCCGTTTTAAAATAATCAGGGACACAACCAGTAGATAGGGAGCTGTTGAAAACAGAGATCAAATGGGGCCCAACAGAATCTATTACTTTCAGTAAAAACTTTGTAGGTATTACATCAAGTGGGCTGGAGGACACTCTCATTTGTGATACTGTTTTTAAAAGCTCAGACAAGTCAATGGGATAAAACTGGTTAAAACTCTCTTGTTGCTGGTGAGGAACCTCTGAGTAAGAGGCCGCGGGGGTAATAGAGGCTCTGATTGACACCACCTTATTGGTAAAATAATCATCATCAGTCATCATTACTTCCAGCTGAGGCACAAGGAGGGGTTGGGTTTACCAGCTGATCCACAGTCTTAAACAGAAACCTGGGATTGTGTTTATGTGTAGTAATGAGTTCAGAAAAATAGTGTGTTCTCGCATCCTTAACCATGTTATTGTATTTAATTAATAAATCCTTCAGACTGAGGTAATGGACTTGGAGACTGGATTTTTTCCATCTGCGCTCTGCTTTCCTGCATTCCCTTTTGAGGCTGTGAATGCTGCCATTTATCCAGGGTTTTTGTACTGCCTTATAGGTATTCTGCTAAAAACTACCATAAAGAATAATCAACACCTCTGTGATACAGTTTTAAAACATCTCTCAATAGACAAAGACATTAGGTTTGTGTTGGACTGTATTATACTGTTCAAGTGGCCAAACCATTTTATAAAGTAGTATTTAAGTAATGCTTTTGATGATGCCTACTTTTTTTATTTTACATAGCTGGATTAACCTGTTTGGGGGCCCCAGCTCAAATACTTTCTGTTGGGCCCCCCAGTTGCCTGAAAGTTCCCATCAAGTACAAAACACACTGCACACTATAGACAGTAGCCTTATTATATTTTGCACAGAGACACAGAAAAAAAACCCTGCAGTCCTATATTGGAATACTAGCCACATGTTTTTTTCTTTGTCATTTAGTTTGTGGTAATTTGATGATATACACTTTTGTTTAGCCATAAATAACCATGTGACCACGCTATAAACTCACCTTTTAATAAGGTTTTAAAACTGGAGTTTGACACAGAACCACAGGGTTGTGTATTAATGCAGGACCCAGTTGATATTTCACCATTGTGGTGGAAATTCCCAAACAAATTTGCAATTACTCAAATGACCAAAACCAACCAACACACAGTTAACCTGGCGCTCTTGAGGCCCCTCAGTCTGAGGGTAATCCAGCCTGCTCAAGCTTTTGTTTGCTTGTATTATTATATATTGTATTATTATTATTATATACATGCATTATTTAGCATTTTTTCATGTTGGGTGTGCAGTAGGGTGGATTTCTGAGCACTAGGCTACTATGAAATTAGTGCCAAATAAAATCACGTCATGTAATATTAACAAATGAATACAACACAAAATTAAATAATAAAGTACATTTCATTTAATGTAAAGTTGTGTAGTGTAACAGCTGTCAAATTCTCCTGACAGTGTCTACATCATGAACCTCACCCTCCAGCCCTTTGTTGTTGTTCTCACGCTAACATGCGAGATCCGTAGACCCGACTCAACTGCGCGGTCACATCCCGCCCCGACTTCCCCTCTCCCAGCGGCCTGGTGGTTTGAGATGAGTAGAAGATGTCGGTTTCGGGGCTGAAGGCCGAATTGAAGTTTTTGGAGTCAATTTTTGACCCAAACCACGAACGATTCAGAATATTAGACTGGAAACCCGATGAACTCAGCTGCCAATTCAACGTAACCGGAGAGAAGCTGCTGATCATTCACTGCAACATCACGGTGAGTCCAGGCCAGCTCTGCGCACAAGCTAACCCTGCCACTGACTATCAACTGAAACCAAATCATTCCGCGGAAGGTTTTCGTGTTTACAAATGAACTACGAATAAAAGTGTTGACTTTTATTTTCATGCTGCGTTTCACCGTCAAGATCGGAGTAACCCCGTTGATTAAATAAAACAACATCGGACCAGTGTTAAATTCACTTTTTTTTTAAAAGTGTACGAAACGGCGTCGACTTGTAACGACGCTGCGGTAGCCTTTGCTAGCCTCTTAACTGAAAGTAACGTTGACGCTAGCTTGTCTTGTTAGCCAAAATAAATGCGTTACTGTTTTCAGTAGTACGTCTGCTAACTTTCTATCAACTGAACCTACGGATCTAGTTTATTTTCAACATTACTTTGCTTAGGTATGGATGAACACCACAGCTCTTTTTAACTATATTTCAGAGAACACGTTATCGGAACAGGCACACCACTCAATGTCCCTTTTCAGTTCTTTAACGTTAAATAGAGGCGGTTTAGTGGAATGTTGTTCCACTGTTTTCTGCCGTTTCAGTAAATAGCCGGATCCCTCTGACGAACTTACAGGCACGTATTTAAAGCTGTGACGTTATTGGTTCCTTTATCGGGATAGCAAAATATGTTG